AGCAGGAGGTGAGCCGCAGGGAGCAAGTGATGCTTCATCTGTATTTACACCTGCACCCGGTTGCAGGCATCCCCACTCAAACTCCCCCTCCTCTCTGATCAGCAGGAAATGAGATTCTTACAGGAGACTGAACCCTGCTGTGAGCTGTGCACCGGAAAGATCTAGGATGTGTGTGCCTTCAAATCACCCCCAAACCAATGTCTGCAACCCTGTCTGTGGGAATACTGTCTCCTTCAAAATCTTTCCCTGTGGCGATGAGATTGGTAACTATGGCTGTAGCACATATCTCAGAGTATGGGGCAGGAATCAGCCTGCAGGACCTCCTTCTGTCCCCACTGAGGGGCTGAGGGTTGATCTCAAGAAAGGGATGGTGGGTGCTGTGTGCTCAGTCTCCTTCTTTATGAGGCCACCATTTCTCTGTGCTCAGTGACACTGCTGTTACATCCCAGGTGCTGCACTTGCTTCCTCTCCAGTGAAAGGGCTGCTGCTTTTCCCTCAGTGTCAGTCTTTGTTGTGGAGATGAGTGAGCCAGGCCCCTCAGGTCAGTCACCCTGCTGATCTCACCTTCTGGTCATCAGCTATCTTGGTTTTGATGGGTTCTGAAACTCTTCTCTCCAATTATTCTTTGTAATTAAAAATACTTGGCATCCCCCTTCCCACAGGGGCCACTGAGGAAGGTACCTTTGCCATGCAAACCTACCTTTCTCTTTCAGACCTGTGCTGCCATAAAAGAAAAATGTCATGGTTCAAGTGCCTGTTGTCAACAGCAGAGCAGGCTGTTGAAAAAAAAAATGAAAGAAAGGTAACTTTATGACTTGCACACTTGATTCCAAAGACTAAAAGATGCAATTATCCATTTACCTCTCTGAAACACGATTATCACATTTCAAGCGAGCAAGTCAAAACATGTCCTGTCAATTGTAGGAGACACAGGACCCTGCACCATGGAGACATGGGACTGATTCACTTGCCTATGCCAAGAGCACACTTTGTGTCAGTTTTTTACTTTCCCTGAATTTTAACTCACAAAAATCATTTCTGCTATGGCTGACTTAAACAAAGTATAAATTGGCACGTGCATCCCTAAAAGCACTTCTCTGAGTGTTTTCTTATCACCTTTCACACATAAAGACTTCTTTGAATAAAGACCTGTCCTATCCATTTGGTTCCCAGGAGAACAGGAAAAGGAAGGTAACTTCCTAGAATCTGGAGTTAAAGAAAAGCAGAAAATGAAATCTCCTAATTTTTTCCTTCTAAGTTGTGTATTCTGTCTAAAAGCTATCCATAAAAGTCATGCACTATTTTGATTTTCTTCATAAAAACAACAGATTTCATAATCTGCAGTAGTTCAGCTGGCTCACGCATAGCCATGACATCAAATGCTACTTTCATCTTGAAGTCAATTGGTCTTCGGGGATGGAGCTAATGACACTTGTCACATCTCTTCCTAACTTGCTTTTGTGCTAATTTCAGCTTTTAACCCCTCTGTGACACAGATTTGTACAACTGAGAGGACAAAAGGTGGCCAAGAAAGGTCTCTGAGGGCCCCTGCAGCTACAAGCAGATATCTACTCTAGGAGAAAGACCAAAATGGTGACAAAGGGGGATCTGAGTTAAGTGGCTTCCATACCACACTACCCATTTGCACGGTTCCTGGCCACACAACCCAGCTGCTGTGTTGCTGTGACTCTCCAGAAGGTGGCAGAGGAGAGGTTTGGCACCTGAGTCTGACCAAGGCAGGTGTGAGAGTTGCCTTCCTTTGTGGGAGCCTAGGTACAAAGGCATGGGAATATAAGGAGCTGGGAGGACAGCCTTGACATTCAAGGCTTGACAGGGGGAGGGAAAGTGTCCTCATGTTGGTGGAGATATGAGAGAAAGCCAGCTGGGGGAGGAATCTACCTTCACAGTAAAACAGATGCAGGCTTGAAAGACCCACCTTCCTAACTCTGCTACCAGAAGCAGACTGCCAAAGCAGGCTGCCAAAGCCTACCTGGGTAGGCTTCAGTTTTGCCCACTGCAAAGGGGGAGTTAGCAGCTGTGTGGCAGGATGGCTGTGAGGAGGAAAACAAGATCAGTCTCCAAAGCATCTTCCTTGCTGGCTGGAGAAGAAGAAGCGTTAGGTGATTAGAAGGTGTTTCATGCAAAGCGTTCTACCTGTGATGCGTTTTAAATGTATCTTCATTGTTTTTGCAAATTTTTTCCTGACTGGCTGGGAAATTGGGACCTCTGGAAAAAATGTCCTTATAACAAAATTATCTAAATGAATTTATGACAGTTTATATGAATGGAGGCGCTTTAGAAAACTGTTCTTATAAACCACTTCTTCCTGAGTCTATGGGTTGCATTGTATCCCCCAGAAGATAAAAGTTGAAGGTCTAATTCCCCAGAAGCTCATAATGTGAAATCACTTGGTCTTATAGTCTATATCTAGATGTTCCTGAAAGCCTTATACACTCATAGGCGGGGCTTTGGAGAGGTGATTAGACCACAACGTATGATACTCATCCAGTAGGTTAGTCTACTGATAGGTTTGTACCCAAATGTGAAGTTGGGAGGCAGAGCCTGGTTAAAGGAGTGGGTCACTGGGGGTGTGGTCTGGAAGGGTCTCTTCTCCCTCCTCCTCCTTTGCAGTCTGTGCTTCTTGTTATCATACCATGAACTGTTTCTCCTCTGCCCTGTCCCTCTGCCATGCTGCCCTGCCTCAGAGTCAGCTGACTATGGACTGAAACCTGTACAAATCATGAACCAAAATAAACCTTGCTCCTTTAATTTGGAAGTGTTGGGAATTGCATCTTAGAGATGAGAAGTAACTAAGACATTTGGAAATGGAGGACTTGCAAGTAGAGTTTGCTCAGACAAAGTCATTGGGGTGAGTCCCCACCCAATAACTGGTGTCCTTATAAAAGGAGGCAATTTGGCTGCAGACACTCAGAGGGGAAAGGATATGTAGACACAGAAGGACAGCTGTGATGGTGGAGGCAGGGGTAGCAGCGACACCAGCCCAAGCCAGGGAGCACCCAGAATTCCCATCTGGCCCTGAGCACAGAGATGGTCATGTGCTGTTCTCTGCTTTTGTAGTTCTCAGAGGAAACCAACCCTGCAGACACCTTCATCTTACATGTTTGCCTTCTATGACAGTGAACTAGAAATTTCCCTTGTTTAAAGTCACCCTGGGACGCCTGGCTTCATCTCCCCACACTCACATCTTTTGCTTGAAAAGAATACAAGTTTGTGGGAAAACATATCTGTGTGTGTTAGAGGAAGGTGACATGTGATAGTGGTCAGCAGGGGAGGAAAAGATGAAAGGACCAACTTCATGTCCTTCCTGGGAACCAACCTTGCCCAGGGACAGCATAGTGATGCAATGGTGGCCACAGGAAATACTTTCTGGGCTGGAGCTGTGGGGCCAGACACCAGTGTGGGGGTCCATGCCCTTCTCCACATTTCCTGGCCCAGTGCACCAGGTCTGATGCGTGAGGAACCTGGAATAGCAGTGCACAAGGACCTGGCAGGGGGTTGGAGTGGGTGCAGGGGTGCTGTTTCCAGGGGAATCAGCAGATCTGCAAAGGCTGAGTTCCACTGGTGGCTCCCCAGAGGCTTATAGATCCGCTGTGGTGGGGGGGAAATCTGCTCCGTAGAGACCTGGCTATGGGGCCCAAGTTTCCTCTCATCTCCAGCAGACACAGCTGCTGGCACATTGTTCTCTGTCCCTTCCAGGGTGGAGGACACAGGAGCCTCTGGCAACCCAGCTGCAGGGATGAAGGCCCACTCAGGCTCAGCAGCAGAGGGCTGTGTAGTCCGAGGGGTGTCTCTGGCCCAGGTCCTGCTCTAAGGAAGCACTAATTGTCACCAGAAGTCGGTGCAAATCACATTGCCTTTACTGAGCACTGGCTGCACAGGAAAGCTCCAGCCAGGAGCTTATGCTGAGTGACTCTGAAAGATGAGGGAGCTTGGAGGCCAGGTCTTCAGGACTTCAGCTGAGGGATGCAGGCAACCTTCATGCTGCCCCCAGTAGCAGAGCAAGTCGCACACTTTGGATCTCTCTCTCTCTCTCTTTCTGTAGGTTTTTGAGACAGGGTCTGTATGTAATTTAGCCCAGTCTCAAACTCACCATGTAGCCCAGGCTGACCTCAAAGCCTTGGTGATCCTCCTGCCCCAACCTCCCAAGTGCTGGGATTACAGGTGTGCCCCATCATGCAGGTCTGTACTAGTGTCCAACTTATTAGAAGGTTTCCAGGAAGAGCAAGTGATGTACGTGAAAGATGCACTTTGCTAGATCTCCGATCTAGGTGAGTTTCGGCATCCTTAGCCTCGGACTCTCCTGCACCAGCCCTCACAGTGTCTTTGAATCCCTGCTGCTGGCCACCAGCCCTGAGTAGTGACCTTGAGCAGTGCAGGCCTCTGGTTGGGGGGTGAGGCTGTATCTAAATCATCCGGAAGAGCAGCTTTGCTGGCTTCCAGATCTGCGCGCATCATCAGCCCACTGCTCACCATCCTCCCCAGCTGGGCCAGGGCTTCACCCTTGCAGGAGAAGGATGGTGCCACTTGGCTGACAGCCCAGCTGGCTGGCTCTGCGGGGCTCTCCTGGCACCCCTCTCACTGGCTGCAGCACAGCTGGCGAGGTTCCTCCATGCTGCTTCTCAGGGTAGGGGGCTTTGGGGCTTGTGCTCGCTTGTTCTGCCATTTTAATTTTTTCCTGACTTCCTCCTTTCCCCACAAAGAGACCTGTTTTCCTACACAAAATGAGAATTCCGGGGCGCTTCCCTGACACCCCCCCCCCAATGCCCTGGATCTGCGCTGGTGCTGTTGGTGAGGGATCCTGGCCCAGTGCCCAGCTTAGATGCCTTGGGCAGTTTTGGGCAAACTGTTGCTAAGCTGCCCCCTCCCCCCAAATCATTTCATTAATTCCGAAAACCTGGGTAAGGGCCTCTTCAAGGCGGTGCTTGTGCAAATATATTCAAATGATCATCCAAATGATTTAACACACAGAGGGTCAGACGTCCCAGAGTAAATCCCATTTTTAATGTGCCTGTCTGAGCGACTTCATTAGGTTGCAGTGTTAAAGAGAGTGTATACTGATGCATAACTTATACAAATGTATGCAAATGAGGTGCCTGGAGGGCCCACAGTGAAATTCCTTGGAGGTTCCCCAGAATTCCACCAGGGCGGAATCAGCTGTGATTGTCACAAAGAACCTCAGCACGCAGCGGGGATGCAGTGTCACAAGGATAAAGTGGGGGTGGGGGCAATAGCGGCACCCAGAAAGCTCTTCCATTTCCGGGGAGCAGGTCTGGCCCCAGGCTGGGCTGGCTGTTCCTTCCGCGTCCCCCCATGGAGCTGGGTTTGCAGCAGTCTGCCTGGCGCTCATGAATACAAATCAGCTCTCAACTTTTGAACCCCTTTTGGTAGAAGAAAAAAAAAAATCACAAAAAGAAGCCAATTCCATACCGCAGAGGGATGGGTTTAATTTCTATGCGGGGAGAGAGGCTGGGGGAGGATCCAGGCAAAGCCACCAAGTCCCAGGGTTGCTCAGGGTGATGGTTCATGAGGGGTCACTCTTTGGTGGCTGGTACTCAGGTCACCTGCTGAACAAAGGAAGATGAGAGCCTTCCACGTGCCCCCTCTATGAAGAAAGCAATGAGGTTTTATGGGATTTTTCAGTTTTTGGTCATTACATTGCAAATGGCTGGAGGTAGCACACAGTCAGGACTCATGCTCTGGTGGGAGGTTTGCCTTCCCCTCTCCTTAACGGTTCAGTCCCTAGCAAGGCAGGCTGGACTCTGTATACTGTGGACCTGGGTGACAATGGTGGCCTGCATGGCTGTGAAGTTTGCAGGACCTGATTCTACCCTGTTGGTTCTTTCTGTCACCCAAGAAAACCATGCCCATGAGTGAAGACTCCTTGACAGGAGCCTCATGGCCACAGCAAAGGCTTGATGAGGGAAGAGACCTCAGCCAAACCCAGGACCCAGATTTGTGGACTGCATACCCACTCTTCCTGGGTCCCTGGACCACTTAGCTGACCAGTGGCCAGTGGGAGAGAGGAGGCCTTTGTCACTCACCAGTGGAGCCTGGGGTCCTCTCTCTCTTCTGGGTGCCATCTCCTTATCCTGATCACCCTGCACCTTTGTGCTGCTATGTGATCCAGCTATGTCTCTGGACACAGAGATGTTGTCAGTTATTAGCTGCATCCAGAACTCCAGCTATTCTTAGTTTCTGCCTTTGTTGCACATGTCCTATTGCTGGAAGCTTTCTGTGCTGCTCCCCACCTCACCCCATGTCCCTATTTTACTCTAAGGCTTGGGAATTCCTACAAGGAAGCCTCCTCCTGACCCCACCACTGCTCTTATTGGAGCTGCCCCCACATTGCCCATGCTCAGAACAATGTAGGGGCAAGAGATTGTTCTGATTCTAATTTATATTCCAAGTGTAGCTCAGTGGGGTGCACAGTGAGGATGATACTTAGACTCGGAGTTGTCCTTCTCATCCGTGATTTTGCTTTCCTGGGTTTCAGTTATGCAATGTCAATCACAATCCAAACATGATACAGAAAAGTCCAGAAATAAATAATCCCTGTGTGTTAAACTGCATGTTTCCCTGAGTAGTAGGAAGATATTCTGAGCTCTCTGTGCCCTTCCTTTTGCTAGCGAGTCCACTTGGTATATACTATCCACCTGTTAGTCACTCAGCATCTGCCTTCGTTATCAGACTCACTGCTGAGCTATCAAATTTGTGTCAGAAAATCCTTACTGTATATAACAATGATCTAGCACCTAAGAGTGGGAATGCTAACAATTCTAATCTGCCAGAGAGAATCTGTAGAGACTTCCTTTAACTGGAAAAGTGAAATTTCTCAATTTAGGAAAGGAAAAACAACTCCATGCTGAGACTTCTAAAATTTATAACAGATTATTGCTAATTGCTTACCACACATACTCTGTAAAGCTTAATTTGCTTTATTTTGTCTCAGTGCTGGTCTTCCCACTGAGCTACCTTTCTAGTCTATTTTATTTTGAGACAGGGTCTCTCTAAGTTGCCAAAGCTGGACTTTAACTTTCAATCCTCCTGCCTCAGCTTCCCAGAGTGTGGGATGGCAGGTGGGTGCTACCATGCCCAGCTCTTAATTTATTTTGTCATAGCTGTGTATGTACAGATGCATCTGTGTGTAGGGTGCACTGTGTATGTAGGGTCCTTGGTTTTGGGGATCCACTCAGATGCCTGGATTGTGTCTGTCTGGGATAGGAAGAGTGCTGGATTCAACACTATCACATGCTCGGTGTTTTCAGATGTTACTTGGGCTCCACCATGTCCCCTCTATGGATTTGCCCTCCATTTCCTGTTGATGAATGGCTGCCCATAGCCATCTGTGGGCTCACAGATGGTGATGGTCTGCTTGGAGTTGAAACCCAGATCTTTTCCTTCCTGCAATGCTTACAGATCGAGCAGCTTCAGTGTGTCAGGCACCATGCTGGCCTGGAAGAAATAGGGCCATCTGACACCAGGACACCTTCCTAGTAGCTGCTCAGCTGGCAGTTGTTTAAGGACATGCAGTGCTGAAAAAAAAATCCGTTTCCATGTCTTAAATGGCAGCGAGTCCTGCTGTCACTGAGTCATGAGCTGAGAGGGAGGCGGGCACAGTGGGAACCGTGACAGCTGGAGGGACCAGGACCAGAGGGAGTCACCTCCCACCCTGAGCCCTGAGCAGAGCTATCTGCTCCTATGCTACTGTTGGGGGTCTAGACCCCACTGCATTGTGCCCTATAAGAGCATCACCCTGAGTTGTCCCATGCAGGAGTTAGAGAAAGGCAGAGTCAGCTAGCTTGGCTCAGCTACCTCCTGGAGAGGCTGTGAGGACTCAGGCTCAGGAAGGTACTGACCTCAGGAAGTGACTCAGCTGGTGACATCCGATGTGAGTCAGGAGAAACCATGCCCTGACGTCCACATGTATCCTGCTGAAGCGCTGGGCCACCCTGGGGACACAGTGGCAAGAGGAGAGGGTGAGCCAGGTGTACCAGGTTAGAGGTGTGCAGTGTGGAGGAAGGGCTGGAGGGGGCATCTGGAGGAAGGCCTGGGACCCTCAAATCTCAGTGTCTTCCACTATGTCCCAGGACATGGGGTTAGAAGGAAAGCCCTGGGTGAGCCTGGAGACACTCAGTCCAGTTCTCCAAACACAAGTAGGACCCATTGGGAGTATGAGCCCCAGATCTGATCCATTGCCTGCTCACCTTGTGTCCTGAGCCTCCCGTCACACTGAGTGGGGTCCATTCATGGGGTTCAGTGTTGTCTCCCATAATGTCTCTTTGGTGGTAGTCACAATCTCATGAAAGGCCACTTTGTTTCTGGAAGGTGCAGACAAACTAAAATCTCTTTGCAGAAAGGGGAGATTCTGTGAAAGCAGGTGGAGGAAATTCTTTAGGAATTGAGAGCCCAGACCTGATTCTGCCCTGACTTCTGGCTCCCTATGGACCGTGGTCAGTGCCTGGCCCAGACATCTCTGGAGCCAAGCCTCACCCTCTGTGGTATCTGTTATCCAGTACCCTGATCTGGGGCTGCAGAAAAATAAACATGTTTAGATAAAGTAGTAGTTATTACAGTAAAAGACACATTGCCATGAATCTCCTTCAAAACCTTCCCGCTTTGCTCTGAACACACTCATCCCATCATCTTGCCACTTTCTGTAGCAGCTCTGGAGTCCTCTTTCCTGAGGGTCTTTAGTTGTGTGGTCCTGGCTGCCTTAATGTCCTGAATCAATCCAAATGTTTCCTTTCTGTGGTCATTCTGACGTTGGGTAAGAGCCAGAAGTTTCATAGTGCCAAATCTGGTGAATAAGGTGAAAGAGGACAGAGTGTTATGTTTTTATGAGCCTGCATTTCCATTGGATGGCACTGGGAAGTAGCAGTCACCATATTTTCAATCATACCTTATAAAGACATAACACTGGACTGAGTTTTCTACTTCCTGCAATCACCTAGCAGACTTCTCCTATTTGGCCTGCCCACAGTTTTGTTGGAGGGAAGTGGTAGAGAGGGATAGCTCATAACAAAATGGTGTACACAAAATGGTTTTGCTTCAGCAGGAGAGATTGGGTCCTCCAAGGAGCTGGTTCCACCAGGCAACTGAGGGCTGAAATTTCTGTTTGCAATTTCTATTCTGACCTTTGCTCAAGTACAAGGACTGTGCTTTCCAGAAAGGTTGTAAACACACATATCTTCCAGAAAATTTCATCATAAAGAGACTGAGAAAATTTATCTCCTTAAACACATGTGCCAACATCAACAAGAACCTATCAAAATAGAACTTTCTTATTTTCATAACATTCTTTCCTTGACATGGAGGAACTTTGTGTGGACATCTCTTTAAGCATTTGCATTTCCTTTTTAAATAAAGGGCAACTTTCAACAGCTGATAGTGAGCAGAAATATAATTTATGGGCCACTGTTGTTGCAAGAAGGTTGTAGGTGAGAGCTGGCTGACATGCTTGTGCTAGGTGCTGAGCTGGAGCACTTTCTGGGCCAAGAAACAGATCATCAGATGCCTTCCTGGGTGAGACCACTGAGATGCAGTGGCCCCCAGGAGCCTCCAGCAATCCATGCAGCCCCCATAGTTTTCAAAGCAGGTGTCAACTGAGCCATAGAGATTAATGTGCACCAGGTACACACTTAGGAAGCATGAGTGGTGAAAAGCATTTGACAATAAATGCCAGGAAAACAGGAGCCACTCCAGGTACATCCAATGGGAAGGAATTAATGCAGGCAATAGGCTAGGTACAGACCCATGGATGGCCCTGGGGTGGATGGAGCCAGAGGGCTACTGCTCGCTCTGAACACCTAGATATGTGTGAGTTCATGATTTAATGTTTAGGAGATCAGGGAGGAGCTACAAGCCATTTCAATACCAGTGCTGCTGATGCAGATTCCTGAGTGGATTGTTTTTACAGAGGTGGCTGGAAGTTTCTAGAAAAGCCCTGGTGAATGCCCACAGGTAACCAGCCTGGGTTGGGAGGCAGAGACAGGTCCTGCTCCCTCATGCACTCCAGCAGCCATCAGAAGATACTACCCACAGTTAACTAGCTCGGTGGGGAGGCAGCAGCTGGCTCTGCCCTTCTGCATACTCCAGCAGCCCTCTGGACACTTCTGCCCCAGCCAGCAGAGGCTGGGAAAAACATCAACCTGCTCTGCACCAGTGCACCCACTGGCCACCATTGGATACCCGTAGCTAACACTGGCCAGGAGAATCCAGGAGAACCAAACAGTTATAGTCTGGAGAAATTGTAGCCAATGTGGGAAGTACCTGGGACCCCACTGCTTGCTTGTTTGGAAGAAGCCAAGAAAATGTCAACAAGAAGAAGAAGAAGAGAAGAAGAAGAAGAAGAAGAAGAGGGAGGAAGAAGAAGAAGAAGAAGAAGAAGGAGGAGGAGGAGGAGGAGGAGGAGGAAGAGGAGGAGGAGGAAGAGGAGGAGGAGGAGGAGGAAGAGGAGGAGGAGGAAGAAGAAGGAGGAAGAAGAAGAAGAAGAAGGAGAAGGAAGAAGAAGAAGAAGAAGAAGAAGAAGAAGAAGAAGAAGAAGAAGAAGAAGAAGCAGAAGAAGAAGAAGAAGAAGAGCAAAAAGTAGTCCCTGGCCTCCAACCCAAGCAGAACAAGTCCAGGAGATGTAAACATGGATGAGACTGGGAGTCGCACACCCAAAGTTTCTGAAGTGATAGCAACTAAAGTAAAGAGACAACTTCATGAGGCTATAAAAGAAATTAGAACAGAAATACTATCTCAGGTAAGAGAAGAAATGAAAAACATAACAAAAGAATTGTTAAGCATCTCTAAAGGAGACATAGACTTTAAAAAAGAGCACCGGAAAATGAGGAAAACTGTGAATGAACAATACAAGAGAGATTTAGAATGCATGAAACAGATTCAGAAATATTCAGGAAATTAATAACTCCATTGAAAGCTGGCAAAACCATATGAAAGAAACTGAAGAAGACTTTCAGACCTTGAAGACAGGTGTATAGCTTGTGATCATGAAAGGAAAGATCTCTTAAAAATAACAGGAACCAGGAAATAACAATTTAATGGCTGCAAGACAACACAAAGAAAAATAATTTAAGACTAATGGGTGCCAGCGAAAAAGCAGGCTCAACACAAATGACATGAAAGGTCTATTTAGAGAATTAATAGCAGAAAACTTCCCAAGCATGGGGAAAGGATGTGGCATCTGGATACGTGAGGCATACAGAGCTCCAGCTAGCCGTAACCAAAATAAAGCTACACCTAGATCCCAGAAATTCAGCACAAGAACAGAATATTAAAAGCTATTAGAGAAAAGAAACTGATCACCTACAAAGGAAAACCCATCAGAATCATGACGGACTTCTCAACACAAATCATCAAGTTAAGAAGAGGGACTGAAGTATTTTAAATCCTGAAAGAAAACAAATTCCAACCCAGATTGATGTACCCCACAAAACTGTCTTTCAAAATTAATGGAGAAACAAGATACTCCCATGACAAAGAACAACTGAAGGAATTCATTATCACCAAACCAACCCTATAAAGAATACTGAACGACATTCTAGAGAGAGAGAGAAAACAAACAAACAAACAAAAACTGCCGTTCCAGTAACAGTGGCAGAGGGGGATCACTGAGTGGGGCAGACAACTGACTGAAGGGGAAAAGTAGGCACCCAATGGCAGGAAAAGAGCATGGCAGATGAGCCAGTGCATGTTGGCTGTCACCATTAATGTAGATGGCCTCAACTCACCAATTCAGAAATAGACAAGCAGACAGAGTGGGTCAGGAGACAGGATCCATCAATATGCTTTATTCAAGAAACACATTTAACTCAAAAGGAAATCCACAGACTAGAAGCCAAAGGAGAGAGAACAATGCTCTATGTGACAGGGAACCAGAAAAAAAGTAGGGATAGCCCATCAACTGCAGATGGGCTGGCTATACAATGGAAAGCTATTCAGTTATAAAGAAAGATAACCTCGAGGCTCCTGTAGGTAAATGGACACAACTTGAGATCATGCTCATGGGTGAAATGGTTCAGTCACATGGCTGAACAGCGTGTTGTTTCCCCAGTAGAAAAACTAAAGGAGGGATGGGGATTTAGCTCAGCAGCATAAGCACCTGCCTGGCAAGCTCGAGGTCATGAGTTCAATCTCTGGTACAAAAACGAAAAAAACTAAAGGAATTATTGGAATCTAAAATGCACAGTAGAGGTTGTAAAGGAGAAAGAGGAGGAGATGTCTAAGGGGGAAGGCAGTGCCGTTGCTAAGCTATATCCTGTTTTGAAACCCTGTATTGTTTTCATTGTTCGGTTTAGCTTGGTTTTATTTTATTTTGTTTGATTTTATCATATTTGATGGCATGGGCAGCCATTTCAAAAATAATAAAATGTATTATAGTAACCATTATTGATTTCCTGTTATCTTGTTTTGAAGCCCTGTATAGTTCTACTTGTTTTCTTTTGATTGATTTTATTCTATTTTGTTTGGTTTGGTTTTATTACGTCTGATGGTATAAGCAGCTATTTTGAAGAGAACAAGATGCATTATGGTAGTCACTGTTGTGTTCCTACTGTCTTGTTTTGAAGTCCCATATTGCTCTCATTGTTTTGTTTTGATCAGTTTTATTCTGCCCCATTTTGTTTGATTTTATTATGCCTTTATTCTCTTCAAAATAAAAATAAAGTGGGTCTGGATAAACATCCCACTGCCAGTCACAACCTCCAAGCCGAAACCTCACTGTGACCCTTACAGCACCCCGAGCAAAGGGCAAACAGGAAGGCAGAAACCATTGGCTGAGGAGACAGAATTCAGTCCACCAGCACCAAACGTGGAGCAGGGGGAGCAGGCAGCAGGCCCTGGAGAATGTGACACTACACACATATCCGTCACCACAGTGCGGGGAGGAAGAGTCCAGTGCGACGGCCCTGCGTTCAGTTTTTTTCATTGCCACACAACAAACACAAACCAATCAACTATGTATTACACAGTAGCAGCCACAGTTCCAGGCACCCATCACCATCTTGGAAGGTATCCCTGAGGGTAAGGGAGGTGGCTAGCATATTCCAGTCCTAAGCCCTGGCCTTCAAACTGCTGGCTTCCACCTCCGGAGGCTCTGCTGGAACAAAGCTCCGTGCGCTGGAGGCTTGAATCCACAGACTCCTTGTCCTCCCTGGTTCTGGACATGGGAAGTCTAAACCAAGGACCGTGCCGGCGACTCCCACCCCAGGGGACCGCCCTCTGTGCTTCCTGCATCTGGTGTCCCTAGGAAACCTTGGCAGAGGCATTGTGGCTCTAGCTTCCTCACCCTGCCTCTCCCCCGTCACGCATGGCCTCCCCTGCCTGGGGCTCTGCTCTTAGAATGTTACCAGGTCCACAGGATTGGCACTGACCCTCATGATCGCATCTCCATCAGTGACATCTGCAAAGACCGCTTCCAAATCAGGTCACCTCCACAGGTACTGTGGTTAGGAACCTCCAGGGGTCCTTTTGGGGACACAGTGACTGCCAGCTCCCTGCTGAACCATGGATTCGCTGCAGGCATGG